TGAAGCTGAGAAGTGGGTTTCTTGCATCAGGGTTCTTGATCCAAGGACTACGCAAACAACCTGTTTGCTGGAGCTTCAGGATAATGAATCTGCATTTAGCATATGCACTGTGAACTTCCACGACAAGGAGTATGGAACTCTTTTAGCTGTGGGTACAGCAAAGGGCCTACAATTTTGGCCCAAAAGATCTTTTGAGGCTGGATATATTCATATATATAGGTTTAAGGAAGATGGAAAGGTCCTCGAACTTTTGCATAAAACACAAGTGGAAGGAGTCCCTCTTGCGTTGTGTCAGTTCCAAGGAAGATTGCTAGCTGGGATTGGACCTGTACTTAGATTGTACGACTTGGGGAAAAAGAGATTGCTCAGGAAGTGTGAGAATAAGTTGTTCCCTAACACAATCACTTCTATTCAAACATATCGTGATAGGATTTATGTTGGTGACATGCAGGAGGTATGCTCTTAAATAATCTAGCCTATATTTATAACGCTGAATTGATTATTTTTTTCGAATTTGATTTGGAGAGCAGAAGGCTCATGTTCTCATAGTGTGGTTGATAAGCTATTTAAGAATTTGCGTCTGTTTGTATTGGAAGCTTCCATTACTAGGTGTCAATGGTCCAGGTTGATGTCATCATGGCAAACAATTTGGAGGATTAAAAAAGGAGTTTTTTTGGAAATGAACAATCCTGGAACATTTGGACACTTGCTCTAAATCTTAATGCTTTCACTTGATTCAAGGTTTTGGCAACTATGTCATTTTTTGGTACATGAAGACCATGGAAATCAAGTTTTTATCAAGATTAAAATGCCACTTACTAGTTTATGTTCATTTTATGATTTATCTCGATTATTTGTCTTTGGAAACAAAAGAACCTTGATTCTATCATGTTCAGACAAATGAGTTTCCGGACAGAAGCTTTTTGTAGTGCAATTCTTTGTTCTCCATCTTCCACGCAAAAATGTTTAGTTGTTTGTCTCAAGTGGTTTAAGCTTAGTAGGCACAGGAGTTCGTGATTCACTTTTGAGGTTCACAATGTAGTGTTTGAAGTAAAATATGTCTTGATTAACATAATTTTTATTAAACTTATGTTCTTTGAGTGCTCCAAATACAGGAGTTATTTTATCTGGTGAGTTATGATGATTTCGAAGATGATGGTTAGATATTACAATTTGTGCAAGTAATATTTTTCTCGTACTGTTTTCTGCTAAGAGTTCTTCACCAGCAGGTTTTATTTATTTATTTATTTATTTATTTATTTTTTTGCAGTCTTTCCACTATTGCAAGTATAGGCGTGATGAAAATCAGCTGTACATATTTGCTGATGACACTGTTCCCAGATGGCTAACTGCAGCACACCATGTAGACTTCGACACAGTGGCAGGGTCAGACAAATTTGGAAATGTTTACTTTGTGCGGTTACCCCAGGATGTGTCGGATGAGATTGAAGAAGATCCAACTGGTGGGAAGATAAAATGGGAACAGGGAAAGCTGAATGGTGCTCCCAACAAAGTTGAGGAAATAGTGCAATTTCACATTGGTGATGTGGTTACTTGCTTGAATAAGGCATCGCTGATTCCAGGAGGTGGAGAGTGCATTATTTATGGGACTGTAATGGGTAGCTTAGGAGCATTGCTTCCCTTCACATCTCGTGATGATGTTGACTTCTTCTCCCATTTGGAGATGCACATGCGGCAGGAGCACCCACCTCTGTGTGGCAGAGACCACATGGCATACAGATCTGCCTACTTCCCAGTCAAGGTAAAGTTCAGTTACTTATCTTCTCCTTGCAATGTGATAAACTTTAGTACTTGCATCGAAGCACTACAATTTTGTAGTCGTTCAAAACTGGAGAAAACTTGATCCAGCATTGCATAGAGATAGGTATTTTTTTTTAACCTTTTCTTTCTTTCTTCCATTTTTTATTTGTTCGGTTCTGTGAGCCGATGAGGTGGTTGGTTATGGATGCAAATCTTATTAAGTTGAGAAGAGTTTTTAGATTTTTGAGAAGATAGCCGATTCTGACAAGTTGACCTATTTTGATGGTGCAATTTGTCTTGCTAAGAGGGGCTGATATCTTGGTAAAAAGAAATGTGGAATACAATAAGTTCCAACTTGATCTGCAAAACCCCTTACCAAGCTCGCTGCGATAGACAGAAAAGGACCTTGATTTAGCTTGCCAATTATCTCTGACCTGTTTCCATTCTTAGATCTCATCAATTACCCTGTTTGTCTCATGCTGAAATTCAATTATGATGGTGGAGACAGACTGCATCTGAGTCATACTCAATTCTCATAGTTTCCAGCTAAAAGCAATAGATTCAAATGTTATGTACACAGTGTGGGTAGCCTCTTTATGGCATCAAGCTGTGCATGTATTGATGAAAAAACTAAACCTGGACGGCGGAGGCTAAATTGTTGGCTAATGTTCATTGCTTACTACTGATGCTCACACTGCTAGTGCTATAACAACTGCTAATTTCTAACCATGCATTTTACATTAAAATATCTGCAATTTGCGTCCTTTATCTCTGACGCTATTTTTTTCCATAATACCTATTTGTTTTGTGATTTTTATCCTTTGCAATAAATTTGCAGGACGTGATTGATGGAGATCTGTGCGAACAGTTCCCAACTTTACCCATGGATCTGCAGCGTAAAATTGCTGATGAGTTGGATAGAACTCCAGGGGAAATTTTGAAAAAACTGGAAGAAATAAGGAATAAAATCATTTGAGATCGTGCTCATGAAAGGTAAAATTGTGCCTAAACAATTCCATTAGCGTGTGTTTTGCCTCTATATACTGATATTGTATGTCAATGTCATACTTGTTCACTAGGTAAATTGATGAGGTGCTTATACTTATCTTTGGTTAGAATCTCATTTTTGCAGTCAGTTTCTATTTTTGTTTGTAAGATATACCTAGTTGGAATATACTGTGAATGTTTTATTATCTGATTGAGGAAAACATGTATTCCTTATTATAATTTTTTGGGATAAATATTTAATCAAATGAATTGTCGTGTCTGTCACTGACACTCCTTGGACATTCCGTGACATATACTATTATGTATTTTTCCTTCCTCGGCATTGTCATATAGTTTAACGAAAAGTTATTCTATTATAACAATTAGCTACTCAACCAATTTAAAAGATTCCATGAACAAAATATCAAAACTAAGAAAAGAATTGAATGATTTTACTAAAAAAATTATAAGCATGTCGACAGGATATTAAATCTACATTTTAAAATAAAAATTTTAAATTAACCTGTCCCTGGCATGTCCATGTTCGTGTCAGTGGCCTTGAAAAATCACTTGTCCGTGTTATGTCGTGTCCGATACGCAAGTCCGTGTCCGTGCAACATAGTCTATGACTAAGAGGACAGACTAAATACTGGGATGAGTTTGGAGGAGAAGAGATGAATCAGACAGCATGCAGTCAGATTTGCCTCAAGTGTTGGACAGGTTAGGTTAAAATTGTTTCAGGAGTCTAAAATGCCTAAAATTGAGGGGTTTAAGGACTCTTCTAGCGCAAGGACAGGAAAAAGTTTGCATAATTTTGAGTATCGAGAATTATTCGACCAAGATGGTACACAGTAGATTTTTTCAGACAAAAAAGTAGGGATTATTTATGTCATTCTTGTGTCTTCATATTACATGGTTTGGATTATTTACGTCATTCTTGTGTCTTCATATTACATGGTTTGGATTATTTACGTCATTCTTGTGTCTTCATATTACATGGTTTGGATTATTTACGTCATTCTTGTGTCTTCATATTACATGGTTTGGATTATTTACGTCATTCTTGTGTCTTCATATTACATGGTTTGGATTATTTACGTCATTCTTGTGTATTCATATAACATGGTTTGGCTTTTTCCTACTTTCATTTTTGTTCAACATCCAGTAAGGGGCCGTTCTTTTTTGCATCTAGACATCTATCTATGGCTGTGTGGAAAGGAACTAAAATGTTCATGTAATTACTAATCAGAGTTAATGCGCACAGGTATGACAATGACCTTCGTGTAATAGAAGATTGGCCTCGTTGATGCTTAGGATGGTTGTTACAAGACGAAAGCACATTCAGAAAAATAGTGACATATGGTTGAAGAATGAAACATGGCATTCACATAGATACGTGCCCCTGAAGAAGCAAAAACTCTTATTGTTACCTACTTTATATTCACCTTATTTCTGTTGTAATTTTTTTCTAGATTTATTCCCTTGAATCTTGTAATCAAGTGAAGCAATACAGTGTGTCCGAATAACTCGTACTGCTTTGATTTGCAGAATTAGAACATGTGAATTGTATGTTGAGCCAGATGCCCTGTTTATTCAGTAGCAGTGTAAAATCAGATGAGTTTAGTTTGAAATCTTGGGTGCATCGGTTCCACCGAACCTTGTATAGTTTATACACGGTGACACGATTTGCCTTGATGTCGTGGCTGCTTTGTTTCTAGAAGTGGGCCAAAATTACAGAAACAGATGTAAGAAAGAAAGAAACCAGATAACGGCGCCGCTTTATTTTTAGGGATCTTCACAATTTTTAAATTCTTCCAAACAGACATTCTCTGGCATCCATTGCTTTCAAGTGCTTCAAGTCTTAGCCAAGCAAGCATGTACTTTCACATCCATCTCATGTAGTTTAGGGTCCTTTAAAACGATAGTAAGACTTGAAATATGTTCCCATCGAGAATCTTTCTACAAAATTGAGAAGATAATTTCTACTAATTATCGTTATATTTCAAGCTGGTTACAAGCTTACCAAGTGAGTACTTATGGGGCTCGGCACGAGTCACGACAGAGTAGTCTTATGGCATTACTTCCTATTTACTTTTAATTTTTGGGTAGATATGAGAGAGAATCTTTATATTTAGCATTTGAACAGAAAGGAATTTGAGAAAGAACTAAGAATGATCCAATGCTGGCTAAAATGATACCCATCCCCGTCATTACATTATCCAGAGAATTAAGGCCTAAATAAAACCATGTAATACTACCAAAACAAGTATGTTATTATAGAAAATATTGAGAAAATTCACGTCTGTTAATCAGAAAACAATGGCATCCGATTCCTAGAACATAACAATCTGCAATCACAACCCTTCCCAGTGACTAGTATCACTAGTAAAATATAAAGGGAAATATTACTTTGCTGCTACTAATTGAATTGCATCCCACCTGTATGCTAGTCAAAAAATTTCCTCTCACAAGTCATATCTCACATTCCATTTGCCTTTAGTGTCAGCATTGAACGTCCAGTTATTTTCCCTAATCTGGAAGTACGGAATCTGGAATAACAATTATAGAAGCAGTGAGCTGATAAACATATAACAGCGAATATCATCAGACAATGTGCACATTATGCATTTATTACACAATACATCGTACACAGAAATAAAGCATTATACTGTTAAGGCTACTAAAGAGAAAATAATGAGTTTCGTGATCCCAAAAAAAAAATTGATTAATTGAAATTTGGAAGTATTAAATAAATTGCGTTATTTCAATGAAAGATGTTACTGTCCATTGCAAAGAAAGTTTTTTTTTTTTTTTTTATAAAAGTACCATGAAGTAACAGGACTGGAAGTGGTAACTGAGATCTTTTCCTCCTGTTGATCTATATTTCCTAACCGGTTGTCAAACTAAGCTATAATCACTAGTTTATTATATAGAAGCATTAGTGTTCCTCAAGGAAACAGTAGCATAGCTCCAAAATGGATATAATTGTGCCAGTATAATGTGATTTAAACGTTGCCACCTCTAGAATCTTTCAATTTGAATGCACTTATTCTTGAGAGAGTTTTGGAGATAATAAGTCACCCTCGAATCATTTCAGTTTAATCCTTTTTACCTCTGAATGGACTCTTCATGCCAAATTATAATACAGAAAAGGCAAACTGCACTTTAAAATTCCCCCTGAATTTATTGCATTTAGGAGATCTAGGATAAAAAAGAAATTTTAATATACGAATACAAATACCGCACAAGCACATGGTTTCTCAATAAACTTCTAAATTCAAGATTCAGTATCGATTTCATCAATCACTATGCCATGAAACCAGATGCCGACCAAAATGAACAACTTTGCATCAATGTAAATACCAGAATCCTTACAGTATTCAAGTAATATACCTTGTCAACAACTTCATAGCCAACTTTCAACCTCAAATCTTGGTCTTTTTTAAAATTATAGATGATCCAAGTAAATTCAGCTGCTCCTTGGGGCTCCCTCTGCAATATCATTGTGATGTACAAAATCACTCATGTAAGTTAAAAAATGAAGGTCCTAGGATATGGTTGTGTTTGTGCTTGTGTAAAAAACTGTGAGCATTAATAGTCTCACATATGGACACAAATTGCAGAAGGAAAGAAACTCCAACCTCTTTAAATTCCTTGTCAATAATCATTCTACCCTTGATGTTAAAGTTTATCAACCCATTGTCAGTCACCGGAATTGTCTTCTTTCCACGAACACTGTACCTTAACTTTTCGTGCCTGGTGTATTGAATACCTGCGCCAATGCTAGCTGATACCTATACATTCAGCAACAAAATATATTTAGTCCTTATTATTTTTTCTTGTTCCCCCCTTTTCATATATCGGAATGGGGAGGGGCAAGGATGATCTTACCCTCAATTCAATTTATAAAAAAAAAAGAACAAAAAGGAAAAAGGGTTTACATCAGGATAGAAATGCCTTATCATCGCACTAAGATAACTTGGAGCTCCAATCCTTGTGTCCAGCTCTCCATGAAGCTGCCAATTTGAGTGACCATGCCCATGAGGGAAGATAGTTCAGGAAATTCGTGAGGTTAAATATAAAGATCAAGCTATATTAGTAGCCAGTCTACAAATATCAACATAATTATTCCTTTTATTGATATACGATGTACAATAGTAGTTCAAAGTCAGTTGAACAGACACATAAAACCGTTGGAAACTTAGTTTGGCCTCAGCAACATTTCCTGAGGGTAAAATAAAATGAAATTCAAAGAAATAATACGGTCTTATAACAAGTCATGCTGATAATGCACATTATATTTATCTTTGTTTTTCCCCTCCTTCCCCTTTTTGAAACAATAACATCCTCCCTCATTTAACAAATGGCAATTTCATACTCCAATATGCATCCACATTCCACATGCTCACATAATTTCATTAAGATATAACCTCTAACGAACATATCACCATAAGAGCATCTCCAATAGGCTTTCTATTTTTAAAGAGCATATTCTACATTTGGAGAGCATCTATAAATTTAGAGAGTCAAAATTTTAAAGTACTCCAACAAGCTTTTTATATTTAACATTTAATTTTACTATAAAAAAATATTTACCCCCTCCGTCCCATTTATATAAGCCGACTTTCCTGATTTTTTTGTCCCAATTATTAAGTCTTGTTTCTTTATTAAAAATGTTTTGTTTTGTTCATTTACTAATATACACTTATTCATTTTGCTTTGTTATAACCAATTTTTCTCACTTAATCTTGAAATTTTACAAATATAAATAAGGGTAGATTAGGAAACTTATTAACAAAAATTACTTTTCCAATAACATTAAATAAGATTTCTTAATCCGCGTGAAAAATAAAATCAGCCTATATAAATAGAACGAAGGGAGGATTACTTTTCCTCTATATTTTATTTTAACTAACTTTCCTCTAGATTATGTTATTATTTTCCTACATTGAAAATTGGAATACTTTGAACGCATTTAATTATCTCTCTAAATTAAAATGTTAATTTAAAGAGTTTATTGGAGCATAATTTCAAGGATCATTCTTTTAAATTAGAGAGCACTCATGTTAAAATGTCACTTATAGACTCTCTAACTATATAAAACTAAGCATTTTAATTTAACACCGTATTGAAAAATAATAAATCTTCTTTGAAACGATTACCAAACCAGAATTCAAAACAGTTGGCGATAAGAGCGGATATGGCTAAGCTGAAAAACATAACCCATAAGTAATTAAATATGCCTTGAAACAATTGTTTTTAATGCTCTAAATTAAAGAGCTATATTCATTCAAAATTTGATATGGAAATGAAATTAAATGTATGTAATGATGGACCTGCAATTGAGTATTGGAATCGGCGGCGATGGGATACTTTTCCTTGGCATGGATTCTCAGGGATTTGGAGTCTCCGCCATATCTAAGTGAGCTTTCCATTATCAGCTACCTCAAATGCTTATCTACTTGACAAAACCCTAATCCTACAATCGTATAACCTATATGGATATCGCGGGTACACAACACTATGCTGAATGCTCTACAACGAACGGTGGAGACACGGAACATGTGCGGGCGTAGTTGGATACATATTTTCCCCCCTTATTTGCTTTTCTTGTAAATAGTTTTTTTTTTTTTGTGAGATTTTTTTTTTTTTTAATTTACTAATAAGGCTTTCGTTTACCACTTTAAGCTAATTCTTGATCTCTAAATAAATACTTACTTTGATACTACGCATTAATTCTTTTACTTAGGCTCTATTTAAGTCGCATTCTTTGAAAAAAAACATATTATTTAATAGTGATTTGACATTATTTCAATTACACATTTTTTAATAACATAATATTATATGCAAATTCAAAATTTTTCCTTATTTTTTAACCATATATTTCTAATCGATATATTATTCAATAATGGATTTTTATGAAAATAATATGACTCAAACAAGGGCTTAAAGTAAATAAAAATTTCAAATTTAAAGTATATTTTACTAGGAATTTTATCGAAATTACAATGGTAATTGCACATTTTGGCTCCACTCTATTGTTATTAATTAGATTGAAAATAAAGATTATTAGGCATTATACAAATTTGGAAAATGAATTGAATTTGTTAAAATTAGGACTTTTAAAGACTAGTCTTGGCCCTGCATAAACAGTAAACAATTTGTTCAAACAAACATTTTGCCTTTCCGATAGAAATTAAAATCATATTTTAATAGATTTTATTTAAAAAAATTGTAAATTTCATAAAATACGTAATTAAAATTAATTATTAACTTTAACTTTGATATAAAAAAAAAAATAATAATAATAACAATAAATTTTAATCCCTACCAAATAGATTCATATGAATCTAACCATACTACTAAATTTTTAGGATTCCCTATGCTTCTTGTAAAAAAAATTTTAAGCCAACTTCATCTAAAAAGTCTCCTAATCAAATGAAATATTTTCAAAAAATATTTAAACAAATCCAAAATCAATTTTTGACTTTTCAAAAACCTGACCAACCAAAACTTTAGCAACTTCAAAACAATTCAATTGATTTGAATTAGTTCTAATTTTAAGTGCCATAGTAACATTTTCATTTTCATGTACATTGAAAGTAACAGCTGTGCCACCAGCACAGACCCATTTGCACGAAACCTATACAGAGGCACTCTAACACACAAAAATCTTGTCTCAATTGGCCGATGTCATTGCACAACCTTATAGTACTCAAATACAGTCGAATGTCCCTAAACAAGTATCACAGTTTTTTTTAGCAAAGAGCCACGTCACAGCATATCCCTAATTTATGTTGTTCAAGTCGCAACAAAATTTTGTCCCGACCAATACATAGAAAATGATGGATGATCGAGGTGGGTTAAACACTAAGAAAATAACCCTTTTCTTCCTGGATTAAATCTCATCAATTATTTCGAAAAGATCATCAACTTCCTGCCTCAATAGTGCAATTTTCTGCTGAACAGAAGCAACACGATTCTCAGTTTCTCGTCCCCCAAATTTCTTCTCATAACAATCTACCACCGTGGAGTGTTTCAACATTAGCTTCTCTTGCAGTTCCTTCTCCTTGGCAACCAGCTCCTCCACCTACATATGAGGCCAACAAGGTTACAAGACCACAAAATGTCTAAATCACCAATACACTCTTCTCTCTTCACACAAATATGCCGTTCATGTTCGATAAGTATTTAGACAATATTAGATATTATAAAGAAAAAGATTTTTTTTTAATCATTAATACTATTAGGGACTATATGATCCTCTACCAAACATGTGACTGCAGTTTTATTTTTAGATACAACCAGTTTTATTAATAAGAAAATCAAATAGATAGAAATGAACCTTCGATAAAATTTGAACAGCTTGGGGGGAAGATTGCAAGAATGACAACAAGGGTTTCAACTCTTTGGACAGATCCTTAAGCAAACTGTCAGCAGCTTTGCGTGCTGCTTTGCAAGCTTGCACATCACCGGTTCTTGAAAGATCTCGTAATGATGCTTCTATTTTGTCATGGACTGCCATACAGCGGTTCATGATATTTTGAAACTGCTGAATTGCAGTTTGTACCTGAAAAATGGATCATTCAGTCCAAGATTTCCCTTAACTTGAAAGGTTTATGTAAAAATGATACAAAAAAGGACACAGTATAAACTCACCTCATCCCACTGTAGTTTAGCCATATAAGAAGCAGAGGATTTTGAAATTGTCAAGTCTGCATGCATATAAACTATGCATGCAACAAAGAAAAAGAAAAATCCAAAAATCAACATCAATGGCTCACTAAGCAAAGAAAGGCTGTTGAACTTGTAATAGACCTGTGGAAAAATATTATATATCAGCTTCCAACAGTTCCAAAAGCAAAGCCACCGCAAGGCAGAGTAGCATAATGAAATGCCATCATGACAGGACTCAAGACAAATTGGACACACAGACAACAAAAGGCCCTTGGCATTTAGAGACCAAAATACACATGCAAAACCTGCCATCCTGCTCCAAATGGAACCCATTCTCGTACAACAAAAATAGAGAAAGCATAACAATCTACGAGAGAAACCCAATGAGAATATTTCTGAAAATATTTTTTTGGCATTTCACCACTCATACCATGTTTTATGAAGGAAGTGGTAGGCTAAATAAGAAGAAAAAAATTTATTTTAGTTCACAGGAGACGGAGATTACCCAAGAATATAAGTGCCAACGGCCAGCAAAGGCATCTGAGAGAAGGTAGGAATGTTTATGCATTGCAGAAATAGAAAATTGATGGGTGGTGATGCTGGTGAGCCTCCTACTGCAGACTCTTGTGAGTTGAATGGGTTCCCAGAAGTAGAAAATTGGTGGATGACACAACTTGGGTTTTAAACATGGATCCAAATATATTCATAAATTGGCAACATTCTACTTTTAAGCTGCCATATGTAGAAGGCCAATATCAAGGATAATAAAATGTCAAAAACATATAACTCCACCTAAAAGAGTGAAATTAAGAAATAAAGTACGAGAAGAGAAATGCTGCGGAATCAAATGGCTCATGTTCTAAGCCACTGACTGGCACTCAAGGAAAAAAGAGGACGGATATTTATCATGCTTGATAACCAGACAACATCCTGGAAAAACAGGGTTAGAAAACGTTTTGAACTTTTTTGATGCCTTTCTTCTCAAGTTCAAGTTGATACTGCATAATATCCCATGAAAGTGCACACAGCATTTAGCATTCTTGGTTTTCTTTCCATTTTCTCAAACACTTGAAATCATCATTTTCTTATCCATCTAAGCTTAGATTAATACCAAATTGTTACTTTTGTTCTTCCACTAAAACATTGACTTTGAATGTAAAAACCAACTTCATATATGCAAATTCAATAGGTCATTACAGGGTTCAAAATAAACTATATCAATAGAGGAGCTAGGAGTGACTGGATGCAAATTTAGGTAATTGAATCATTTAGAATTCCATAACGTAGAATTTTTAAAGCGTTCAATTTCACTGGAATTCAAAATGCAAAAGTTCTCTTACACGATAATATTATTAAATCAACTTGATGATAAATGCAGTATACTAAGAAGACTGTTGCATTTTGTGTTATCATCTAGCATCCTTAATTTCAACATTACCTGAAAATATTGATTATGCTCAGGCACAGCATTTGTCTTTTCCAATACAATTACTGGTCGGCCAACCATATCCAAATGGGAAATTTTTGTCTACAATGAACCCAAAAGCAAACATTATTTAGACGGGCAGTTCCTTATGCATCAAGGAAAGAAATATTTCTAAAAAAACTTCAGTTCAACCACACCTCTTTCGACTGGTTGACAGGAAATGGAACAGAAACGGAAATATCCTTAGACCCCTCTGGCAAAACAACCTGAAGTCCAAGAAGCCACATAATCTATTAAGTAACCAATCTTGACCAGAGAGCAAGTGAAAAATGTAAAAACTCATTGTACTTTTTACACCCTCTAATCGTTGCTAAAAATGACTCGTGATTCAACACGTTATCAAATAATTATATTCATTATTAGCATTATAAAACAACATAAAAGAAAAATAATGGCATGATGACAGATCAATGATAGAAAGATAACCTGTTAGAAAACACCAAGAAAAATACTAATTTTCCACATAACTTGGCAATAAATGGAGTTGTTCCATGAACAGTTCTATAAGGCTAGTTTGAAACTGATAACTTCGAAAAAAAAATATTCGACTTATTGAGAGACACAGAAATACTAATTTTTCTCTTAATTGCTGAAAACCACTCTGTTGTGCTGGACTCTTGCTGTAATCTGCAAAAGTATCTGATGAAAGACGATCCAAATGGAAACATACATTAAATATCCGGCTAAGAGAAAAGGACTCTTACATGAGATACCTTGGAATCTAATATAAATAAATGCAAATGATGCCATGAACTCTACCCACCGTGCATACGTTACCCACACAGGTGATCAAATAGGTCAAATACCAGAGAAAGGCAAAGGCAAAGCTGTAAAATTTCAAAATCTTTATTTTATCAGGTATTAACATGGTCTTCTGTGATTGCAATATAGTTGATTCCATTAAACCTTCGGTACATGAAACAGTGAATCAATCAGAAAGGCAAAAATGATTTTAAATGACTCCTAGGAAATAAGATTTAGTTTACTGTCCTTGTTGTCATGGATAATTCACATGAAACTCATACTTCTGAAATTTAACTCACAGTTGAGCTATGTATAAACTGAGTTGAGCAAAATCTATACAGATGATTATGAGTTTTTCTGTACGACAATGAAAAGAGAACAACAAAAACAATGTTACAAGCAGAAGGCCAGAAAAAATAAATGACTGGGAACAACGTCAAATGAACCCGAGGACAAAATTATGCAGGATCTAATATCCTTATAACAGGTATCTGAGTAAAGACACATTACCTTCACTATTAGATTTTCGATGACCACCTCATCCATTGGGCAACCAAAGGAGATATTCAGAAAGCGTTTTCCTTGTGACTGAAACAAGAAATCTTGAAGTGGCAAACCATATCCAATGGTAAATGAAGTTCTCCACCCACCAAAGATTGGATACCGAGGTTCTATTTCCAGCAATGTCTGA